ATTGTTGTAATATTAAATATGAAGAAGAAGATAAAGAAGAATATGGAGAAAAGATAGAAAATGAATGTAATTGGATAGGCAGATATTATGATAGAGAAATTAGAGAAATAAGAATTGAAGAACATATTAAACAATGTGTTGATGAATGTTTTAATGGATATACAAGTTTAACAAAAATAGAATTATCACCACATCTCTATAAACTTCCATTTAAATGTTTTAATAATTGTAAATCATTAATAAAAATTAATATTGAATATGTTACATATATTGGAGATAATTGTTTTTCAAATTGTACAAGATTAAAAGAAATACGAATGAATAAAGACATTGGATATGTTGGGAAATGTAGTTTTTGGAATTGTAAAAGTTTAATAAATATCAGAAGTTCAGGGAAAATACATATTTATCAAAGCATTCCATATTGGGTTTGGATGATATTAAAAGAAGAAAATAACGAAGTTGAAGAAATTGAATATACAATTGAAGATAGAGAAAAGTAAGGATATGAAATACCAACAGAAGTCAAACGAATAGGAAATGGATGATTTGAATGAAGTCAAATTAAAGAAATTACTATTCCTTCAAATGTAAGAGATATTGGAAATGATTGTTTTGGTTATTGTACAAATTTAACAAAGATTGAAATACATGAAGGAATTAAAGAAATTCCAAAAGGATTTATGAAATATTGTGGACAAATACAAAGAATTGAACTTCCACAAAGTATAACTAAAATAAACACAGAAAGTTTTAAAGAAAGTATAAAATTAAAAGAAATTAACATTAATCCAAATACAATAATAATTGAAAAAGGAGCATTTGAAAAATGTCCAAATATTAATTATGAATAATAAATTAATTTAATTCAATTTGATTGAAATTGATTATTTATTTGTTTCTCAAATAATATCAATATTAAATAATTTAATTAATTTTAATATTTTTAAAAGATATCATAGAACGTTATCATAATATAATAACATTCATCTATTTTATTCTGTTTATCATTTGTTTTATTCTCTTATTCTTTTTATTATCAAAATTGATATTTATTTATTCAAATTTCATTATATTCTTTATAATATTCTTTATAAATATTCTCTAACTCATTATTTACTCCAACAATAAAATAAAATAATATAAAAATTAAGAGAAATGATGAAAAAGAAGGATATGAAAGAAAAGAGTGAAATTATGAAGTAGAAGAAGATGAAAGAATAAAAGAAGAAAGTTGAGAATATAAAATGAAAGAAGATAAAAAGGAATATTTCAAAGAGAGTTAATAAAATATGAAAAGAATGATGAAATAATGGATGTATTTTTTATTATAGAAATTAGAAATATACAATAAAAAGTGTTTAATTTATTGATGCAAAATATTTATCATTATTTTATTGATATAATTTATTTTATTCATTTTTATTTTTATAATTTTTATTTATGTTCATTATTTATTCAGTTATTTTGATTCAAATCTATAAATATGTGAATGATTGAATAAATTTTTGAGAATATATCAATAAATTTATCATTTATTATTAATAATTATGTTTTTAATCAAATTAATTTGAAAGATGATCAAAATAAAATTAAAGACACAATGAATGTTATTATTAATCATTATAATGATTATATTAACAATGATGTTATGAATGAAATACTTATTTTATCATCAAAATTATTATATTCACAAAATATTGAATCAATAATTATTGTTTTGAATAAATTAAATGGTTTGTTAAGAAGAATTATAGAAAGGATGATGAATGTTAGTAAATCAATAAATTGGTATGAACAAATAAAATTAAGAATTATACAAAAAGAAATGTTTGCATCAGAATTGATGGTTCTAAAAGAAATAGAATATGAAAAAAGAATTGAAATATTTAAAATATATATTCACAATGATATTAAAATTCATGATTCAATTGTTAAAAATGATGTTATTACTACTCTTAGGAAATTAATAATAATTTTATTTCTTCCTATTCATACAAAATCTACAAAAATAAATAAAAATAATATAAAAATTGTATTCTATTCTATCATTCAGGAAAAACAAAAGAAACATGTAATTGAAGAGATTGTGAATATAAATTAATTGTAACATTAGGGTTTGATAATGTAAATAGAGTATTAGAAATTAATGAACATAAACATCAATTAGATTATTTCTTTGTTGTATCAAAAACTTGTCCTTTGTTAAAATCTGAGAAACATTTAATTCCAAAAACTAATAATGAAATAATAAAATTTCTTGTAAATCATCCTCATATTCAAATTCCTCTTAGAAAATTTAGACAAATTCAGAGAGAAGAAGATAGAAATAAAATATTTGAAAATATATTTCTTTCAGAATCATTTTTTGAAAATGATTCATTTATTAAATTAACAAATACTTTCACTAATGGTTATATTCATTCGATATTATTCATTCATAAGAAAGTGGCTCAAATGGAATATAGTAAAAGAAAATGGTATGTTGATGATACAACTAAAACAAATATATATAATAAAAATTTATATGTTGTTATTGTAAAAGATGATAATTCTTTTAACCAACTTCTTTCATTTGGATATTTATTTGATCAATCTGAAATTTCATATAAACTATTCTTTCATCAACTTTATAATATTTTAAATTATGGACATGAAATCATTGTCTGTGATCGTTGTATTGCTCAATATAATGCTTTGAAACAAATATTTCATTATTCTAAACTATTTTTGTGTAGAAATCATATAGAAAGATCATTGATAAAATATTTTAAGAGTGATCATATAATAATGAAATTATTTCATTTAACAATGAATATGAAATTAAATGAAAATGATTTAATTGAAACATTGAAAAGTATTTTAATGAAAAATATTAAAAATATTGAAGAAGACAATGATGATGATGAAAATACTTGTTATGATGATAAAGAAAATAATGAAGAAGAAGAAAATGATGATGATCAGTTGTTTGAACCTAATACAAGTGATATTATAAAATCAATAGATGGTACTAATACATTACAAGATATATTAAACAATTAATAGAGAGC